GGTATTTATTGATTTCAATGTATACGATCCCCCACCTTGCAGGAGGCAACTCTTGGTGGCAAACACAGTTAAAAGCATCAATTGCAACAATATAGGAAATGAAAATAACAAACTACTGTTAAGATTTTTTATCAGATAAGGGAAGAATCAATGTTTGACTTCGGGATTTGAGGACTAGATCTGAGCTGACTTGAGAAATATTGTGGTTTTTCAACGGTTATTTGTGTTTGACAATGTGGTCTGTGTTAGATGATAACGAAGAGAAGAACATAACATGAATTTTGCTTTTTAGAATGTTTATTAGTATTTTAAAGTATTTGAAATATGGATCATTCATTCAAACTTAGAGGTGGTTGTATTTTATCTCTGTATTGAAAAAAGTTGGAGGCCTCTCTTGTTCTATATTTATTTATTTATATATATATTTATTTATATATTTATATCTCAGGGGCTGCCCCAAAGAAGAGGGAGTCAAGCTATTTTCCAAAGCACCTGAAGGCAGGACAAGAAGCAACGGATAGAAACTAATCAAGGAGAGAAGCAACCTGGAACTAAGGAGAAACTTCCTGACAGTGAGAACAATTAATCAGTGGAACAGCCTGCCTCCAGAAGCAGTAAATGCTCCAACACTGGAAGTTTTTAAGAGAGACGGGACGCCATTTGTCCGAAATGGTTAGGGTTCTTGCCTGAGCAGAGGGTTGGACTAGAACCTCCAAGGTCCCTTCCACCATTATTATTATCGATCATCGCACAGTCGCCAGATGTTCAGACTGGATTTGGCATTTTGTCTACCTATCGAGTCCCTTACCCAGGACCTGGGATAGGCAGATGTGGATGTTTGATGGTATTACAGATATCGTCGCAGGATGGAAGCAGTTCCTAATAAGGCCGCCTTTTGCAATTGACTAATAGCGAATTTGTCAATGCCAATGGTGTTCAAGTGGTGCTCCAGTTGTTTTGGGATTGCACCCAAGGAGCCTATTACTATTGGTACTACCCTTGCTTGCTTTTGCCACCGTCTTTCTATTTCTATTTGTAGGTCTTTGTATTTTGTTATCTTCTCCAGTTCTTTCTCTTCTATTCTGCTATCTCCAGGCACTGCCACGTCCACTATCCAGACTTTTTTGTCTTTCTTATCGACAATTGTTAAGTCTGGGGTGTTATGTTGCAGGTGCTTGTCTGTTTGAATTCTGAAGTCCCAGAGCAGTTTAATTTTATCATTTTCTATGACTTTCTCTATTTTATGATCCCACCAGTTTTTGCTTACAGGCAAATGATATTTTTTGCAGATCTTCCAATGCACCATTGTTGCTACTTTGTCATGCCGCTGCTTGTATAGTCAGTTTGTGCAATCTTCTTGCAACAGCTTACCAAGTGGTCCACTGTTTCTTCAGCTTCTTTGCATAGGCGGCACTTACTGTCTGTTGCTGTCTTCTCAATTTTGACTTTGTATGCATTTGTCCTTAAGGCTTGGTCTTGTGCAGCCAGAATTAGTCCCTCGGTCTCTTTCTTCAATTTTCCTGCTCTTAGCCATTGCCAGGTTTTATTGTTATCTGCTTTCCCAGCTATTTTTTTCATGTATTGGCCATGTAGTGCTTTGTCTTCCCATGCCTCTATTCTGTTCTTCACTTGGTCTTTCTTGAAGGCCAGTTTGGTCTCTCCAGTAGTTAGTAAGCCTTCCTGATATACTAATTTCAGTGCATCTTCATCATTGTTCTCCAGATATTCTTCCAAAGCCATTTTTTCTTCTTCAACCATCTGATGTACTTGTAGCATTCCACGCCCACCTATTTGCCTTGGTAGATAAAGTCTATCAATGTCACTGCGTGGATGAAGGGCGTGATTCATTGTCATTATTTTTCTGGTCTGCCTATCCATTGCTTTTAGTTCTGCTTGAGTCCAGTCCACTATTCCAGCTGTGTACCTAATGACTGGGATTGCCCAGGTGTTGATTGCCTTTATGGTATTTCCTCCATTGAGTTTGGATTTTAAGATCTTCTTCACTCTCTTGATGTATTCACCTCTAATCTTTTTCTTGACTTCAGTGTGCTTGATGTTGTCAGCTTGAAGGATACCCAAGTATTTGTAGTACTCTTCCTCATCCAGACTCTTAATGTTATTTTCGTGGGGCATCTTGATTCCTTCAGTTTTCACTATTTTTCCTTGTTTGATAGTAAGTGTGGCACATTTGTCCAAGCCAAACTCCATTACAATATCTTGGCTATATATACGGACAGTGTTGAGCAGCGATTCTATTTCAGATGATGTTTTTCCATACAGCTTCAGATCATCCATATAAAGTAGGTGGGATAGTCTGGCAGATGTTTTTGATGTTTGATAGCCATGTCCTGAGTTATTCAGTATTGTTGACAGAGGAAACAGTGCAATAACAAATAGTAATGGTGACAATGAATCTCCTTGAAATATTCCTCTCTTGATATTAACCTCTCCCAGCCTCTCACCATTGATCTGCAACTGTGTCTTCCATTGTGCCATCGATCTTTGCACAAATTTTCTGATGTTTCTACTGACTCCTGTTATTTCTAGGCACTTTATTATCCAATCATGTGGCAGAGAGTCAAATGCCTTTTTGTAGTCAATCCATGCCACATTCAGGTTGGTCTTCCTTCTCTTGCAGTTTTCCAAGATCATTTTGTCTATTAGGAGTTGATCTTTTGTTCCTCTGCTATTGGGGCGGTTTCCTTTCTGCTCAGGTGGAAAGAGATTGTTTTCAACTAGATGCTGTTGCACTGCATCAGCTACTACACCAGTTAGTAATTTGAAAGTTGTTGGTAAGCAGGTAATTGGCCTGTAGTTACCTGGTGTTGCCCCTTTTGCTGGATTTTTCATTATTAGGTAGGTTTTCCCAGTTGTTAGCCACTTTTCAATTTCTCCTCCTTGTAGTATATTGTTGAACTGCTTGGCAATGAGTGGGTGTATAACAGTTAGATGTTTCAACCAAAACCCATGCAGTTCATCTTCACCTGGTGCTGACCAATTTTTGATTTTCTTTGCTCTTTTTTCTACCATTTTTGTTGTTATTACTAGTTCTTTCATTTCAACTTCTGTTTTATTTGCATCCACCTCTTTTAACCAAGCCGCATCCTTGTTGTATTTCTTTGGGTTATCCCATATCTGCTTCCAGAACTGCACTGTTTCTTCCTTGTCAGGTACTGACTGATTCTTGCAGTTTCTCCATTGATGGATTGGTAGAAACGTTTCTGATTGGATTGAAATTGGAGGTTCTGCCTATAGTTTGCAATTCGAGCTTCATATCTACTGATTTTCCTGGCTATAGCTGTTATTTGTTGCTTTATTATTTCCAGTGCTTCCTTGATCTTCCTTGTTTCTAAGTGGTATTTCTTGATTAGGTATTCTTTGGTCTTCTTGTTCTTCAGCTTCTTTTCTTTCATCTGTTCTAGCTTGCTTGCATGTGATCTTAACTTGCTGATCTTATTTTCTAGTCTAACCTTCCATTTTTCTGGTGCACTGTTTGTTTGTTTTTCTTCTTTGTTGATTTTGCATCCCAGGTATTCTGTTATAACTGCAGCTGTGCTGTACATTAGTTGGTTTGTTTCTTGCAATGAATTGGTGCTTATACTTGATATTGCAATATTTGCATCTTTTAATGCTTGTGCTAGCTGTTTCTTTGGAACAAGCTTCAATGCAGGTAGCCTTATTCTGTTGTTTTTGTGCTGTTCTAGATGCTCAGTTATTCTTTGTTTCAATTCTTTTATTTCTTTAGTTAGAGGGTTTTGTTCTTCCTGAGGAAGAGGTGCCTGGTTTCCAAATGAGAACAGTTGTATATCTCTGCTGGATTCCTTCACTGCCAACTCCCCCTGGTTTGCCTCTACATTCTGAATTACTTCTGGTAAGGCTTTGATTTCTTTGCCCTGGGTAAACCTTTGCAGTTCGTCCAATTCTGTTTCTGTGAATACTTTATTTCGTGTTATAAATCGGCGTTGATCTGCTAGTCTCTGTTCTGTTATTTCTGATTCTGGATGTTGTTCTTTCCAGAACTGGTGCATTCGTTTTAGATATCCTCTTCTTGTTGGACTTGATCTGTAGTAACAGATCATTATTTCTTTGTTTTCCATCATTGTGTATCTGCGACGGGTAAACACCTTTTCTTCCAGTAGTTCTGAGCAGAGGGTTGGACTAGAAGACCTCCAAGGTCCCTTCCAACATTATTATTATTATTATTATTATTATTATTATTATTATTATTATTATTATTATTATTATTATTATTATTATTTTAAACCTATTTTTGTCACTTTTTAACTTGTTCTGCTATTCTCCTCCCCTTTCCCCCCTTTATGTTAGCTTGCATTTTAAGATTTGTTTTTGAAATTTAATAAAGATACTTTTTAAAAGAAAAATAAAATAACAAGAAGAAAAAGGAAAAAGGAGTGACAGCTCAGGATAAACCTCAGCAAGAAATGAACATTACATAAAAGCTCACCTCGCCTCCCGATTTCATCCCTGGAAGTTTTCAAGAAGAGACTGGACAGCCACTTGTTTGAAACGGTATAGGGTTTCCTGTGTGAGCAGGGGGTAGGACTAGATGACCTCCAAGGTCCCTTCCAACTTTTTATTATTATTGTTGTTGTTGTTGTTGTTGTTGTTGTTGTTATTATTATTATTATTATTATTATTATTATTATTATTATTATTATTATGTCCTTTCCAACTCTATGATTCTGGTCTGGAGGACCTTCCCAAAAAATTCACAAACCTGGAACCAATCTAATCTTGAGGCAACAGCATTCTAAGCACACATTGTTGTAAATTATTCGTTCTTGGTGTGGCAGGAAACTCATTGATGAGCCATCAGAGTAGAAAGAAAAAAGGATTCTGAGAGAGATTCAAAAAAGATTTGGGGCAAAATGCAGACAGGAAAGACCCAGTGGTGGATTTCAAATATGTGAACAACTAGTTCTCTGTTTGGATGCTGCTTCCGGAAGTCCGTTCTGAGCCTGGGCAACAAAAAATTAGCTACTGGGTCTGCCGAAGTGGTGCGAAGCGGCTGAATCCCACCACTGGAAAGACCCCATTCACATCCAAACTCCAGAAGGGTCCAGATGTTCTGGATCAGCTGAGAGGCCCTTCACCACCAAGTTGCTCGCCCACATTAATCACGCTGCAAATCAGGAAGCAGAGCCCTGCTGAGAAGTTCACCCGTATCCTGACCACAGTACAGAGAACAACGCCTACAAGCGTGCAGAGTTTATAATCTCTGCCCGCACACGGGGGGAACCCTGAACAATGGATGCTCGAGAAGGGGTAGCACGGCTAGAGATTTCCACCCGTGACCCCCAAGAGGACTTTGAACTTCTCCAGCGGGTTGGTGGAGGGACCTATGGAGAAGTCTATAAGGTAACCTCAACTGTCCTGCATGGGGGTTTGGGTTCAAGTGCTGCTCCGGCACCTTTTTCAGCTGTGGGTTGCTTAAAACGGGATTTGTTCCGGACATTAACAAATGCAACAAATAGAGATCAAGCTTCAAAGAAAAGAGAAGGTGCAAAGGATTTAAAAAAAAATAAATAAATAAAAAAAGATCAAGTTAATATTAGTCTGTGAAATTTTGGGCCACATGATATAAGGGAAGCTGGTCTTATTAGTCTAATAGTCTAATAAATAAAGAAATAAGCATCTCCAGTTGCTTGCAATACACTAAAATCCTGGTTGTATCTTAATTAAACTTTGAACTATGGTGCTAAAGAAGACTCCTGCGAGTCCCTTGGACTGCAAGGCGTTCAAACCGGTCAGTCCTAGAAGAGATCAACCCTGACTGCTCTTTAGAAGGCCAGATCCTGAAGTGGAAACTCAAGTCTTTGGCCACCTAATGAGAAGGAAGGACTCCTTGGAGAAGGGCCTAATGCTGGGAAAGATGGAGGGCAAGAGAAGAAGGGGACGACAGAGAATGAGATGGCTGGATGGAGTCACTGAAGCAGTAGATGTGAACTTAAATGGACTCCAGAAGATGGTAGAGGACAGGAAGACCTGGAGGAACGTTGTCCATGGGGTCGCGATGGGTCGGACACGACTTCGCAATTAACAATTAATAACAAAATCTTAATTAAAACCCATAAGGAAGGTTAATCTGAAGGATGAGCAATAAATGTCCTGTAATTGTCTTTGGAGGTGGGGGAAAAGTCGTCAAGGAGAAGCAGGCATAAAACGACAGAAGAGTGGACTTTTTTGATTCCCATCAGTGGTCCTGACTCCAGCAGTGGCTATGAATTCTATCATTTAATTGGTTTTATGTGGGCAAGAAGATATGGGAATCCCATCCAGGAACTATTTTATTTTTTTTTGCAGACTTTTTTTTACCTCAATTAACCTGTTTAAAAGGCAGAACAGTTTGGTAGCCCCCTCATAAATTGCATTAAATCATTTTATTAAGGCTAATAATTGATTTTACAAGAAGGCACAAAAGCTCGCAAAATGAATAAAATTTGGTAGTCGAAAAAAAAATCATTCTTACATTATCCACTATCCTTGGATTTTGGTTTTATATGGCTCTCCTTGCGGGTGTAAGAATCTCCCAAGTTCTGATCGGCGTCGGTTGTTGGATTTGATTTAATTTGAATGCTCATACTGATTGGATCATTAGCTTGGTTCCAATCGTCCAATCGATTAGACTGGAAGAACAGAATCAGTTTAAAAGTGAGCTGTTGCTGTTTAAAAGTGTTTTAATTTACAATGCCCCAGTGGACGATTGGAAAGGAATCAATCAGTCTTGACTCTGTGTTTATTAGAATCATCCTTGAATCAAAAGAGAGATTATTTGATTACTTGGCCTACAAATGGAAGCCTTGTCCTGGTACAATCCACCATTAATTTCATTTTAATTGCTGCAATTTAGGTTTCTCTGCAAAGATCCCTCAGAGCTGCATAGATGGCAGTGAGGTAGCCCCTGTATGAAATTTCCTGTTTGCTACTACAACTTTCGTTTTTTTATTTACTTTTTTTAATACCCATATAATCAAATAAAGCCTCGCGATTTGGCCAGATGTACATAAATTGCACAGTATTTTTTTTCTTTCTTCTTAAATAATCCCTACAAGAAAAGGATGACTGAATTAATATCCATGCTTGAAGACCCCTCCCTCAACCTCTAGCCCAGAAAGGGGCTAAAATCAGTGGCGGGATTCAGCCGGTTCATATCACTTCGGCAGAACCGATAGCTAATTTTTTGTTGCCCAGGGCCAGAACGGACTTCCGGAAGTGGCATCCACGCAGAGAACCAGTTGTTCACCTATTTGAATCCCACCACTGGCTAAAAATCCTTTATTTGCACCACTCTGTATTTGCAATATATATATCTTAAGAATATTAAAAATAAAAAGCTAAACATGGGTAAACTCATGTTTAGCTAGCAATAAATGCAAGAACACCAGGAAATTATAAAACTATAAAAAGTTTCAATAAATTTAAAACACCAAGCTTTCACTGGCAACTGCCGGCATCATCAGGGTGGTTTCCAGTCGATGGGAGAGGCCACAACCATAAATAGCCCATCGACTGGAAACCACCCTGATGATGCCGGTATTTTAAATTTATTAAAACTTTTTATAGTTTTATAATTTCCTGGTGTTCTTGCATTTATTGCTAGCTAAACTATCTATCTATCTATCTATCTATCTATCTATCTATCTATCTATCTATCTATCTATCTATCTATCTATCTATCTCAATCATTTTTGTCCTCAGCCGGTTTCACACATCTTCGTTTTCCAAGGAAAGAAAGATTGAACAATCTGAGCAGGCATTGCCACGATAACCCCCAATGCAGCATACAAAACATAAAAATCTTGCTTTAACAGCACAAAATGTGGATGAAAATAATAACAACACACACATAAAAAAAAAGAAATCCTGAGGCAGCAGCTGTATCCTCTGCCAGCAACACACAGAGCGTTTTTCAGCTGGGTTTTTTGCTTCCTCTTTCTCACTTTCCCTTCCAAACTGGGAAATGTCAGAGAAAGGCAAGATTTAAAAAAAGAAAAAGAAAACTCTTGGTAGAAACAAGAGTTTGATAAAACCAGGCGAGATGGAGTGGGTGCAGAATTAGAACTCGGCTCCTGAATCGAGATGGCTGTTATATCCTTTTTTTTAGGTTCCATTTGCTCGATTTAATATAGAATTTGTGCCTTCTGCCACCACTTTCAAACATTTTATTAAAATTTGGGTCGCTTTCTTCTCAGGCAAGGAGCAGAGAGTCGGGAAAGCTGTCTGCTATCAAAATTGTAAAGATGGAAGCAGGTAAGCGAGGAAAAATTTAGCACAGGGTTTCCCCACCGTGGCGACTTCAAGACAGGTGGACTTCAACTCCCAGAATTCTCCAGCTAGCCACGTGTAACCTTCCAACATGCAAAATCAACAGAGGAAGCCAGATTCCCTTCAGGACTGCCTGACTCACTGCACCACTGCAGTGCTTTGCTTAACGACCGTGGCAAAAGAGGTCGTAAAATAGGGCAAAACTCAACGTAACAACGGCCTTGCTGAACAACAGATGTTTTGGGCTTAATTGTGATCGTTTGTCGAGGACTAACTGTAACATAACAACGTAGTGGGGATGTTGGCCGTCGAAGCCCAGCAACATCTGGAAGGCTGAGGTCCAGATGTTTTAATAAAGGAGAATATTTGCAGCTCAGGGTTGAAATGTGGGGTCCTTGGTGCCCTCTGAGCTGGGTGGTTTCTGTGCAGACGTTTCATGACCCAACTAGGGAACGTTATCAGTGCTAGAAGTGGGGAGGAGGAGGAGGAGGAGGAGGAGGAGGAGGAGGAGGAGAAAGGACTGTGGGGTCTTTGGTGCTCTCTGAGCTGGGTGGTTTCCTTGCAGACATTTCATGACCCAACTAGGGAACATCATCAGTGCTAGAAGGGCGGCGGAGGAGGAGGAGGAGGAACAACTGTGGGGTCCTTGGTGCTCTCTGAGCTGGGTGGTTTCCTTGCAGACGTTTCATGACCCAACTAGGGAACATCCTCAGTGCTAGAAGGGAGAGGGGTCTAGCCTTGATGATGATACCTAGTTTGGGTAATGAAACGTCTGCAAGAAAACAAGCAAGCTCAGAGGACACCAAGAATCCCATAGTCGTCCTCCTCCTCCTCCCTTCTATCACTGATGATGTTACCAGTTTGGGTAATGAAATGTCTGCAAGAAAACCATGAAGTTCATCAAGGACCATGAAGCACCAAGGACCCCACCGTCGTCGTCCTCCTGCTCCTGCTCCTGCTCCTCCTCTTCTAGCACTGATGATGTTACCTAGTTTGGGTAACAAAACATCTGCAAGAAAACAGGCAAGCTCCGACCAACGACTCTTCATCCAGCTGGCTGCTGTGCTTCCTCTTTAAAAGATTTGCAAAGAACAAAGCAGAAAAGATTTCGTTCAGGAAAAAAAACCTCCCAGGTCTTTGGGAGGTGGCTGCCTTGACTTTTTTCTTCTTCTTCTTCCAATTTTGCCTTTCAACTTTCCGCCCTCATCCCAGCCTATAAATCTCTCTTTCTATTAATTCCAGAGTTGCACGGTGCTGTGTAACTTGAGACGGCATCGTGCATTTCCAAAATGTAGTTCATATGTATTATTAGGGGATGGGGAAGGCTGGAACGCTTGTAAATGGGTTTTAAAAATGCAGATTTCCACACATCAGCTGTAATTAAAGACAGAAGGAAAGGCTGTGTTGGGGACGCAACCTGGAGGAGAATCTGTCAGAAATGATGAGTAAAGCTTGAGAAGAGAGCTAAGCTGGAAATTGCCTCTTTTGTGGGTGCATTGAAAGATTTTATCTGCCCCAGCTGAGTCAAATCCACCCTCCTTTCTCTGCTATTCTGTTACTCCTTGATCTTCCATAGAACTGGTTCCCCCCTCCCAAATTGTGCCTGTTTGTCTTTCACTCATTTCATTCACTCATCAGGTTTGACCTGATTTTTCTTTTAACAAAGCACTTTTCTTTTCTCCCCATCCTTGGCTATTCCTTTTATTCTGCCCAAATCTGCCTATAGGTTTCCCTTTCCTGTAACTTGTCAGGAAATATCTTTTCAAAAAAACATTTCGTAAAAAGGCCACAGCGGTTAAGTGAATCCCCGCAGTTGATAAGTTAGCCACACAGTTGTTAAGTGAATCTGGCTTCCCAGGAGGTCCCAAAAGGGGATCACATGTCCCCGGGACACTGTGACCGCCGTAACGATGAGTCAGCTGCCAAGTGTCTGAATTTTGATCACTGCGACGGTTGTGTGAAAAACGGTTCTAACTCACTTCTTTCAGTGCTGTTGTAACTGTAGCAAAGACTTGCAAGTGGAAGGCTACTGTATTCCATTTATAATAATAATATAATAATAGTAGTAAAGTTGGAAGGGACCTTGGAGGTCATCTAGTCCAACCCCCTGCTCGGGCAGGAAACCCTACACCATTTTGGACAAATGGCTGTCCAGTCTCTTCTTAAAAACTTCCAGTGTTGGAGCATTTACTGCTTCTGGAGGCAAGCTGTTCCACGGATTAATTGTTCTAACTGTCAGGAAGTTTCTCCTTAGTTCTAGGTTGCTTCTCTCCTTGATTAGTTTCCACCCATTGCTTCTTGTCCTGCCTTCAGGTGCTTTGGAGAATAGCTTAATTCCCTCTTCTTTATGGCAGCCCCTGAGATATTGGAATACTGCTATCATGTCCCCTCTTGTCCTTCTCTTCTCTTCTCCCTTTAACGCTGGGAAAACTCACCACCTTGCAATCTTCTGGCTTCCTGGATCTTCCCCAGAGCAACACAGGTGTTAACCTTCTGCCCTTGTCTTTCATTCGCCCGGTTCCCATCAGGTCGTATCCTAAAACACCTCCTTTCTTTCTTTTTTGTCCAGATGATGATTGCGTTGCTATCCAACAAGAGATCGTGATGGTGAAAACCTGCAAACATCAGAACATCGTCGCTTACTACGGGAGTTACATCCGGTAAGCGGTCCTTCTCTGAAGATGGGACAACGCTCCCGGGACTATTTCCCTGTCTTGAGAAAGTGGGCGGGCGGGCGGGTGGGTATCCCAGAACCTTGGGCAAGATCCTGGGGTACAAAACTGGTGTATGTCAGAGCCGTGGGGGCGCAGTGGTTAGAATGCAGCATTGCAGGCTAACTCTGCCCACAGCCTGGAGTGTGATTCTTACCGGCTCAAGGTTCACTCAGCCTTCTATCCTTCTGAGGTCGGTAAAAATGAGGACCTGGATTTTTGAGGGCAATAGGCTGACTCTGAAAACCGCTTAGAGAGGGGTTTAAAGCACTGTGAAGCAGTATATAAGTCTCAGTTCTATTGCTGTTCCCTCCCTCCCTCCCTCCCTCCCTCCTTCCTTCCTTCCTTCCTCCCTCCCTCCCTCCCAGTGGTTAGAATGCAGCATTGCAGGCTAACTCTGCCCACAGCCTGGAGTTCGATCCTGACCAGCTCAAGGTTGACTCAGCCTTCTATCCTTCTGAGGTCGGTAAAAATGAGGACCTGGATTGTTGAGGGCAATAGGCTGACTCTGAAAACCGCTTAGAGAGGGGTTTAAAGCACTGTGAAGCAGTATATAAGTCTCAGTTCTATTGCTGTTCCCTCCCTCCCTCCCTCCCTCCCTCCCTTCCTTCCTTCCTTCCCTCCCTCCCTCCCTCCCAGTGGTTAGAATGCAGTATTGCAGGCTAACTCTGCCCACAGCCTGGAGTTCGATCCTGACCAGCTCAAGGTTGACTCAGCCTTCCATCCTTCCGAGGTCGGTAAAATGAGGACCCGGATTGTTCGAGGCAATACGCTGACTCTGTAAACCGCTCCGAGAGGGCTGTAAAGCACTGCAAAGCAGTATATAAATCTAAGGGCCATTGCTATTGCTACAATTAGAAAGTGCTTATGGGCAACCTAGATAGCTGGCCCGATCCTTCCAGCCCTTACTCCCATTCTTGGCGTCCTTCAACGCAAATCTTCTCTCTCTCTCTCTCCTGTCTTCAGGTTTAAGAAGCTGTGGATTTGCATGGAGTTCTGTGCGGGAGGTTCTCTTCAAGACATCTATCAAGGTAGCTGCTAAGAAAACGGGACAAATCTCACTCGCACTTCCTAAGCTCAGCTTATAGAATCATAGAATCCTAAGGCTGGAAGGGACCTTGGACCCTCTTCAGTGCATTTCAGACAAGTCCAATGTCTTCTTAAAAGCCTCCAGTGATGGAGCACCCACAACCTCTGGAGACAAGCTGTTCCACTGATTAATTGAACTTCCTTGTCAGGAAGTTTCTCCTTAGTTCCAGGTTGCTTCTCTCCTTGATGAGTTTCCATCCGTTGCTTCTTGTCCTGCCTTCAGGCGCTTTGGAGAATAGGTTGACCCCCTACCCTTCTGTATGGCAGCCCCGGAGATATTGGAATACTGCTATCATGTCCCCCCCTCGTCCTTCTCTTTATTATACCAGACATACCCACTTCTCGCAACTGTTCTTCATACAGTCTCCTGTCTCCTAATCGTCATTGGTCTTCTCTGCACACTTTCCAAGGTCTCAACATCTTTTTTTGAATTGTGGGGACCAGAACGATACCAGCGTGGCCTCGCTAGTGCAGCCTAAAGCGGTCCAGTTACTTCAAACAACACTCAGCCTTTCTCAGATATCACAAGGCTATCTAGCAAGCAAGCCTTCAAAACACAGAACAGGCTGGGGACAATCATGCACAGAAAGATGACGCTAAGAGGAAAAGGATTTGCAAAAGAGTGCACATCGCGGGGGAAGACTGCAAAAGAATGTGTTTCCCTGGGGGAAAGGCTTGTTAAAAAGTGTAGGTCTTTTAGACACCGATTTTGAGAGAAGTTTGCAAAGTAGACGCGGGCTGAGATTAAGGTTGGAATTACAGGAAGCCAAGTCTTCCTGCTTCCTCACCCCCACCCGGTGCAGAGGGAGGCAAATACTTCCTAGTTTTTCCTCACAATCCCAGTAGCACTGAGTTGTGAGAAGCATGCCCTGCTTGGCACAAAGAAGGGTTAGTCCCTAGCATGTCCAAGAACTGGATGGCCACTTCTTACAAGTCTTGGAGAGCCATGATTGACTAGAGCAGGGGTTCTCAACCTTGGCAACTTTAAGACTTGTGGACTTCAACTCCCAGAATTCCTCAGCCAGCTTTGCTGGCTGAGGAATTCTGGAAATTGAAGTCCACAAGTCTTAAAGTTGCCAAGGTTGAGAACCCCTGGACTAGAGGAAGTCAACCTCCCATCTCCTTCCATATGGTGCGTAGGTGATGGCCATCTTAGCCCTCAGCTGCCCCCCCCCATTCAAGAAAAGATGGGTCTAACTGAGATGTTGAGACTCTAGAAAGGGTGCAGAGAAGAGCAGCAAAGATGATCAGGGGACTGGAGGCTAAAACATATAAGGAACGGTTGCTGGAATTGGGTATGTCTAGTTTAATGAAGAGAAGGACGAGGGGGGACATGATAGCAGCGTTCCAATATCTCAGGGGCTGCCCCAAAGAAGATGGAGTCAAGCTATTCCCCAAAGCACCTGCAGGCAGGACAAGAAGTAACACATGGATTTAGACTTATTTATGATTTATACTTTTTTTTTTAAGAATTTAAGAAACTTTAATTAAGCCTATATTCAGCTCTGGGAAAGTTGAGGGAGGGAATGGGAGGGTTGGGGTGGGTTGGGGAGGGTTGTTTTTTTTTCTTGTAAAAATTTTAAAAATTTTCAATAAAAAAAAAAAAGAAGTAACACATGGAAACTTATGAAGGAGAGAACCGACCTAGAACTAAGGAGAAATTTCTTGACAGGGAGAACAAATAATCAGTGGAAAGAAGAAGGTTTGGATACTCCATCACTGGAGGTTTTTAAGAAAAGATCGGACAGCCATTTGTCCGGAATGGTACATGGTCTCCCGCTTGGGCAGGGGGTTGGACTAGATGACCTCCAAGGTCCCTTCCAACTCTCTAATTCCGTATTCTAAGATACAGTGTGGGGAGCTTTCCTTTGCTCTGATCTTCCAAAGTGTTTAAATTTTAAGTACAGTTGTTAAGAGAGGAGGGAAAGATGGGTTTCTTTCTAACACACACACACACACACACACACACACAAACACCACACACACAAACATCATCAAGCGAGTCATTTTGAGTGCCAGGTTCGTAAGTTCCTCGGGGAAGGAGTGCAGTTGAATAAAAAAAAAGGCAATCCTTTTTTGCAACAGAAGTGAAACCAAGTGCGGTTGTTGGCTTTGTGTAGCATGTCAGTAGCACCTGTTTTGAAGGAAGAGACCCCATCGTGTTCAACTGGCTTAGGCTAGGTTGCAAACTTCCCCCTTTGCAGCCAGCGTGTGTTGTTTTGCACTACGGGGCTGACTTTTGCTGCTTACAAGGAGAACAAAAAAAAAAAAAACGATAAAGGACACAAGGGAGCCACAAAGCTAGGCAGTCCCATTTCTTGGACAAACACACCCATGCTCCTGCAGCTTCACAAAAGTTTTGTTACTTTTCGGCCAGCTTGAAAGGAGAATTGTTAACTTACTGTGTGGCAAGTTGCAAATAGTCTGGTTGCAGTAAGCTACAAAGAGTCTAATCCAGGGGTAGGCAACCTTGGCTTTTTTATGACTCGTGGACTTCAACTCCCAGAATTCCTGAGCCAGCCGTGCTGAGGGGAAAGGGAGAGGTTTCCATGCTGGCTCAGGAATTCTGGGAGTTGAAATCCACGAGTCATAAAAGAGCCAAGGTTGCCTACCCCTGGCGTAGGCCTGTATTTCTCAACCTTGGTCACTCGGAGATGGGTGGACTTCAACTCCCAGAATTCCTGAGCCAGCATGGCTCAGCTTAGAAACCTCTCCCTTTCCCTTCAACATGGCCAGCTCAGGAATTCTTGGAGTTGAAGTCAACCAGTCATAAAAGAGCCAAGGTTGCCCACCCCTGGTTAATCAGAAGGAAAAACGCCTTTCAAGAAAGATATTTAAAAACCTAATATGGAATCAAGAAGAGATTCCCTGGTCCGGATCACTCTCTGCTTTTTCTATGCTCTAGTTGCAAGCTGAAGTCTGTGCTTAGCTTAGGAGAGCTTCTTCTATGAAGTCTTCAGATCTTCTTCTAAAGAAGCTGCACTGATGTGGTTACCTAGTTTGGTAATGAAACGTCTGCAAGAAAGCCACCAAGCTCAGAGAGCACCAGGGACTTCACCAACCCTGAGCTACAAATATTCTCTTCTATTGGACTAAGAAGTCTTCTGGCTAGTTGTGTTTTTGTCCTCTTCTTCACTAAAGAAACTTCCAAACACTCTGGAGATGTTGCCACCGATGTGACCCACCTGCGGCTGAGCTTTCAAGATTTCATAAACATTGGGAACCAGGAGGACAATCCCACCTAGCGTCAAAGTCCTCCCAGCTCCAACTTCAAACTCTCTGGAGATGGGGTTAAAGTATGAAAGAGCATAAGAACAGGACCTGCTGGATGGGATCTCTGGCCCCTCCAGTCCAGCAGCCTGTAGGGGAAGTAGCCAACCGACCTGCTTATCTCCCACCAGATGGCCTTCAGAAGCAATTCCAGAACCTTCAAGATCAGGAGGCATTGGTCTCCAAGACTTCCGTGAATTGGCCCAACTCTTTATAAGCAAGACAAGTTGATCACCTGCATCACACATCTCAGGGAGCCTATTCCAAAGTTTGGTAGTGTGTTGGTTTTAAAAAATATTTCCTTTTGACCGTCCTAATTCTAATAATAATAATAATAACAACAACAACAACAACAACAACCATCAGCAAAAATTGGTGGGACCATAAAATAGAGAAAGTCATAGAAAATGATAAAATTAAACTGCTCTGAGACTTCAGAATTCAAACAGACAAGCACATGCAACATAACACCCCAGACTTAACAATTGTCGATTAAGAAAGACAAAAAAGTCTGGATAGTGAATGTGGCAGTGCCTGGAGACAGCAGAATAGAAGAGAAAGAACTGGAGAAGATAACAAAATACAAAGACCTACAAATAGAAATAGAAAGACTGTGGCAAAAGCAAGCAAGGGTAGTACCAATAGTCATAGGCTCCTTGGATGCAATCCCAAAACAACTGGAGTACCACTTGAACACCATTGGCATTGACAAATTCGCTATTAGTCAGTTGCAAAAGACAGCCTTACTAGGAACTGCTTCCATCCTGCGACGATATCTGTAATGCCATCAAACATCCATATCTGCCTATTCCAAGTCCTGGGTAAGGACTCGATAGGTAGACAAAATGCCAAATCCAGTCTGAACATCTGGCTGACTGTGCGATGATCCATAATAATAATAATAAACAACTTTATTGTCAGAGCAGAAGGAAGCAGGAGAACTTCTGGTTTCGGGAAGCTACTACATTCACTGCAGGGTGAAGAGGCCAGGCGAGTGGTGGGAACAAGCAGTTGGAACAAGAAGGACATTTAGACAAAGGCTAACCAGAAGGTCCTTGCTGTGGGTCACTAAAGCCTCAGTTTCCCCTCCCCCTGGTTTCTGAGTGGGGGCAGAGAAGCGTCACAAGCACATCTCGAACGAGGACAGGCTGACCACAAGGCTGCTTTCTCGTTTTCATTTTTAATGCTTCTTGTCGCTTCTTCAAATTCTTCCTGCAGTAGCATCTCTTGTGGTGGAGATCAAAAGTCAGCTGGCACACACAGCATCCCAGCAAAGTGCAGAGATGGAGGTGGAGGGGGGGGGGAGATTTGCTTGTTTTCTAAGGCATGCAGGATACAGAGAGCAGGAATCTTCCGGAATTAGCCAATTTAGGCAAGTTTTTTTTATTTTATTTAGTAATAGTTATAGTAGTAAAGTTGGAAGGGATCTTGGAGGTCATCTAGTCCAACCCCCTGCTCAGGAAAGAAACCCTACACCATTTCGGACAAATGGCTGTCCAGTCTTTTCTTAAAAACTTCCAGTGTTGGAGCATTCACCGCTTCTGGAGGCAGGCTGTTCCACTGATTAATTGTTCTCACTGTCAGGAAGTTTCTCCTTAGTTCTAGGTTGCTTCTCTCCTTGATTAGTTTCCACCCATTGCTTCTTGTCCTGCCTTCAGGGGCTTTGGAAAATAGCTTGATTCCCTCTTCTTTGGGGCAGCCCCTGAGATATTGGAGCACTGCTATCATGTGCCCCCTTGTCCTTCTCTTCGTTAAACTAGACATACCCAATTCTAGCAACCGTTCCTTATATGTTTTAGCCTTGATATTTGCCTTGATGGTTCGGTCGATGTCAGCAGGCTGAAGAGTCTTCAAAGCACAAGTGGAGTTTGATTGGTGGAGATTAACGACAGAACAAGTGCCAGTGCTAATTTTTCTTTTCCTTTAAAAAAAATGTTATTTTTTTTTAACTTTTCCTTTTTTTTCCTAAAGAAAAGAAGGAGTAGGGGGGACATCATAGCAATATTCCAGTACTTTAGGGGCTGCCACAAAGAGGAGGGGGTCAACTTATTTTCCAAAGCAACAGAAGGCAGGACAAGAAACAATGGATGGAAACTAATCAAGGAGAGAAGCAACCTGGAATTAAGGAGAAACTTCCTAACAGGGAGGACAATTGACCAGTGGAACAGCTTGCCACCCGAAGCTGTGGGTGCTCCATCACTGGAGGCTTTTAAGAAAAGACTGGACAGTCACTTGTCTGAAATGGTATAGAGCAGTGGTTCTCAACCTTTTTAATGCCGCGACCCCCAACCGGTCGTAAGTTGAGGACTACTCAACCGGTCATAAGTCGAGGACTACTCAACTGGTGCAGCACCGTTTGCAGAATGGGACTTTTGGCAGGCTCAGCAGGGCAGAGACAGCCTGGACAATTCCTATTGGCTTTTGAAAGCCAATAGAATGAGACTCTATTCAAGACAGTCTGTTCTATTGGCTTTCAATAGAATAAAAGGGAGTAGCACAGCTAAGGAAAAGGGGGGAAAAAATGGCGGACTGCGTTGTTTGGTGACCCCCGTGAAATGGTCGTTCGACCCCAAATGGGGTCCCGACCCACAGGTTGAGAACCACTGGTATAGAGTCTCCTGCTATGAGCAGGTCCCTTCCAATTCTGTTCTGATTGATTGATTGAAGTTCCAGGAAGGAAGGAAGGAAGGAAGGAAGGAAGGAAAGAAGGAAGGAAGGAAGGAAGGAAGGAAGGAAGGAAGGAAGGAAGGAAGGAAGGAAGGAAGGAAGGATCTTTGAAGAAAAATAGGCCAGAAGAGGGCAAGTACATTTCAAAGGGCAACCTTGCCAAAGTTTTATATTTTTATAATTAGAGATACTGTTTTACTAAAAGCCACCCAGGCAACACATGGCCACCTGAACCTCTATAAATAGAAATCAAAACTATTTAAACACACCATGAAAAATTATTTCAGAGGTCAGGGTAAACAGTGCCTCTTCTTTACCTGGAAAGCATCTGAGCCAGCCCATTTTGGAACTGCCATTCCTTAATTTCTCCAGCAACTTAATCTTACATTTTTTCCACATCGTTCAATATATCAGCCATGGCGCCGAGCCGTGGCGAAATTCTTGCAGGATGAAAAGTGCCATTCACTTGTCTCCTTGTTGTTTTTCAGTCATGGGCCCCTTGTCTGAGCTACAGATTGCTTATATCTGCCGAGAAACTTTACAAGTGAGTAGGAATCTGTTGATACGCCTCCTCCCAAGCCATTTTGCCCAAAGGTGGAAGTGTGTTAGGTTTGGCTTCAACCTGGAATATCCCACGTGCTTGGTTTGAACCTGGAATATCCATAACTCTCTCTGAATTATGGTCGTTAAGCCAAGGACTACCTGTATGCACGGGATCAAAACAAGCTGCCTAAATTTACTGACTTGCAAACTGCCAGAAAACTGGGAAATCGTTTTCCAAATTTTAACATTCCTCCCATACCTGCAAATCCTTCACAATCCTTACTTAGTGCATTCGTTTATTAATGGTTGATGTCACCTTTATTAGTTTATAAGTAATTCACGGCAGTGAACATATCTAATGCCTCCTCCTCCTCTTATTTTCGCCACAACGACAATCCTGTGAGGTGGGCTGGGCTGAGAGTTCTCGTACTTAGGGCCAACCCAGCATCCCCATGGTGCCCTGATCAAAATTCGAACCCTTGGCAGCCAGCATTTATTCATGACTGTTGCCACGTCCTGGAGCCACACGATTGCCATTTATGATTTTTCCAGCCTGGCTTCCAAAAACCAAAATCCGTGGCGAAAACCAGATTCACTTAACAAACACGTGATTTGCTTAACGACTGCAGCAATTTGCTTAAAAAATTGGAGCAAAAAAGGTCATCAAGTAGGGCGTGACTAATTTAACAATCCCCTTGTTTAGCAACCAACATTCTGGTCCGAATGGTGATCATAAGTCAAGAATTACCCGTATATTAAATGTTATTATGCTAGTTGTATTTCCAAGATAATTGGATGTGAACTTCCCCCCCCCCCATCCTCCTAGGGTTTGTCTTATCTTCACAACCAAGGCAAGATCCATCGAGATATAAAGGTAAGAATTACGAAGTTTATCCCTTCTCTTATGTCGCCGTCTGTCTCCAGGGCAGAATTTTGGAGAAGAGCAGGCAGAATGGAGGTGGAGTCAAGAGAGGAATCAGCCTGGAGTCTTTACATTCCCACAAATCTAATCCCTCTTGAATTCTGTTTACTGTTATCTAGCAGCCAATTTAATGCTGACCGTTAGTCGGCTAAATTTTTGTCTAGATGAATCATCTTCATTGGAAGTGCAGTCCCGGATTCTTCGCATCTGACACAGAGAAAGGGAGCTGTCATAGTGCTGTTGCTGCTACTTTTAACAGCTAGACTTTTTCTCGATTCATAGTGTGTGATTGAAGACCACAGATTTAATTTAGCTTGCAGAATTAAGCTAGCATCATGCACAAGTGCTAGGCCAGGGCTCTGCAACCGGGACGACTTTAAGACTTGTGGACTTCAGTTCCCAGAATTCCTCAGCCAGCATAGACCCTGGGAACTGGGAGGATTGTCTAGTTGGGCTAGGGAAGTTGTTACCCTCTGCACATCAGCCACAACCCATTTCACTCTGAGTGGTGCTCACTTCCTTTTCCTGTTCTTCACCTTACAGGGGGCGAACATTCTTCTCAATGACCAGGGGGAAGTAAAACTGGGTAGGTGCATTCTCTCCACCTTTGTTTCTCGGGCTCTGCACCCTCAGCCACCCCATCTGGAGGGTTCATGGGCATTGTTTAGCCCCGAGATCCTATCCATAGGATCTAAGAATAGAGTAGAGTAGAGTAGAGTAGAGTAGAGTAGAATAGAATAGAACAGAATAGAATAGAATAGAACAGAATAGAACAGAATAGAATAGAAGTGGAATTTTCCTCCAATGGGATTTTCCCATGTACTTTACCAGGAAACATAGATAGGGCAGGCTAGAAAAGTCAGCGCCCTCCTAACCATACCCAAGCACTCCGAGTTTGTTGGCGAAGTCCATTTTGCTCTATGAGTTCATGGTGACCTAACCCTAACCCTAAGTGGAATTTTCCTCCAATGGGATTTTCCCATGTATTTTACCAGGAAACATAGATGGCAGACTAGAAAAATCAGTGCCCTCCTAACCATACCCAAGCACTCTGAGTTTGCTGGCGAAGTCCATTTTGCTCTATGAGTTCATGGTGACCTAACCCTAACCCTAAGTGGAATTTTCCTCCAATGGGATTTTCCCATGTATTTTACCAGGAAACATAGATAGGGCAGGTTGGAAAAGTCAGTGCCCTCCCAACCATACCCAAGCACTCCCAATTTGTTGGCGATGTCCATTTTGCTCTATGAGTTCATGGTGACCTAACCCTAACCCTAAGTGGAATTTTCCTCCTATGGGATTTTCCCATGTATTTTACCAGGAAACATAGATAGGGCAGCCTAGAAAATCAGTGCCCTCCTAACCATACCCAAGCACTCCTGGCGAAGTCCATTTTGCTCTATGAGTTCATGGTGACCTAACCCTAACCCTAAGTGGAATTTTCCTCCAATGGGATTTTCCCATGTATTTTACCAGGAAACATAGATAGGGCAGGCTAGAAAAGTCAGTGCCCCTAACCATACCCAAGCACTCCCAATTTGTTGGCGATGTCCATTTTGCTCTATGAGTTCATGGTGACCTAACCCTAACCCTAAGTGGAATTTTCCTCCTATGGGATTTTCCCATGTATTTTACCAGGAAACATAGATAGGCCAGCCTAGAAAAGTCAGTGCCCCCCTAACCATACCCAAGCACTCCGAGTTTGTCGGCGAAGTCCATTTTGCTCTATGAGTTCATGGTGACCTAACCCTAACCCTAAGTGGAATTTTCCTCCAATGGGATTTTCCCATGTATTTTACCAGGAAACATAGATAGGCCAGCCTAGAAAAGTCAGTGCCCCCCTAACCATACCCAAGCACTCCGAGTTTGTCGGCGAAGTCCATTTTGCTCTATGAGTTCATGGTGACCTAACCCTAACCCTAAATGGAATTTTCCCCCTATGGGATTTTCCCATGTATTTTACCAGGAAACATAGATAGGGCAGCCTAGAAGAGTCAGTACACGATTCAGATCTACCACAAGAGACTTTTTCAACCTCTCCTTTTTTCTTGTCTTTCCTTCCCTCAGCTGATTTTGGAATCTCAGCTCAACTGAGTGCCACCTTTGCCCGCCGAATGTCTTTCATTGGGACCCCTTACTGGTAAAGAAAACCCACTCACTGGCCCGATGGGCATCTGAGCTGCGAGATGCCAAGGAGAAGGGGGGTAAATCGGAAGGGACCCCCATTTCAGAATATGTTCCAAAATTCATAATGCTAACCAAGGGCCCCCACTGTGTGTGCCGATGCCCACACACCCACCGTTCCTTTTTCAGGGACAAACACATCCAATAACCTTGTCCCGTCTGCAAGGGGCCTTGGTGAGCCAGGAAGTGAGAGGGAAATCCTGGTTTGTAGGCTTTTGTCCTGATAAACCTGGTTAGCAGGTTGGAAAAGACCCCCAGAGTGTTCCTAACGGGACCGAAGAGGGTCTCAGGGGGGGTGAGCTTGAATGTCAGATACAGCCCCCCACCCTCTGTTCTAGGATGGCCCCTGAAGTGGCGGCTGTGGAACTGAAAGGGGGCTACAACGAACGGTGTGACGTGTGGTCGGTGGGCATCATGGCAATTGAGCTGGCTGAGTTGCAGCCCCCCATGTTTGATATGCATCCTTTGCGGTAAGGTGACTCAGCGTGTCCTGTTCGTTCTCTTTGATCCCTGGGGATTGGGAAGCGATTTAAGGAAGAGAAGCCCGGCTAATCTGTGGCTTGCCTCTCTGTGCCACCTTGCAGGGTGCTGGTGTTGATGACCAAGAGTGGCTACCAGCCTCCAAAGCTAAAAGAGAAGGCCCGGTGGTGAGTATGGTCAAGAGGTCCTTCAGAAGTGGTGACAGATCCTTACTTGGTCTCAATAAAGGAAAATATTTGTAGCTCAGGGTTGAACTGAGGGATCTCTGAGCTGGGTAGTTTTCTTGCAGATGTTTCGTGACCTAACTAGGTAACAACATCAGTGTTGGAATGGAGGAGGAGGAGGAGGTGGTGGTGGTGGTATAGGACTGTGGTGTGTGAGTGTGGTTGTGGTTGTTTTCTTGCAGACATTTCATTATCCAACTAGGTAACATCATCAGTGCTAGTAAGGAGTGGGTTTTGCTCTCGCTTTATATTCTAGTGGCTGGCCCTGTCAGTGTTGCTGGGAGTGGTCTTGGAGGTTGTTTTTTGGGTTGTTTATTGTTTGCTTGTTTGGCAGTGTTTTGATTGGGGTATGGTGTCAACGCTGCTCTGCTAACATCGGATGTTATTGCTTTGCAGCCATTTTCCTTCTTCTGTTTTACTCTTAGAATTAGAGTTAGAATTAGATGATGGGGGGGGGGGAAGGAATGTGCATGGGAGTTTAGTTAGAAATAACAATACTGTAACTAGTGTGAGAACCAAGGTTTTTTGAAATAAGAGATGATAAGAAATGGCAGGTTGAAGAATTGGAGGGAAAGCCTGCATTTCAAACTAATTGGAGAATGTGATTTGTGACTGTTAATTAGAGGAGGGAATCGTGCTTTGATACTATGTGCTCAGGGGATGGGAATTCAGATTTTGGCTTTGCCTATGTATGTGCCAATGCTATGCTACTCGAATAAAGATTCTTTAAGGTAAAATGCCTCAAAGTTCTTTGAAGGGTTTCATCTGTTGGAACCATGACATATGGTTTAATTCTGATTGTTGGTCTGATGTTAATCTTAGTGTTGCCCTTTGGGGCAGAATGCCAGAGGTTTGAAATACATGTAACCCTTGACGTACGACCACAATTGGGACCAGATTTTCCACTACTACACAAGGTAGTTGCTAAGCACCAGCTACGTTACAGCTCCAGACATTTTTCCTCATGGGTACCGCTGCTGTCTCCACAGGTCCCCAGCCTTCCACAACTTTGTCAAGGTGACACTTACCAAAAGTCCCAGGAAACGGCCGAGCGCCTCCAAGATGCTGACGGTCAGTAAGCCCACCACGCCTTCCATCTCTACCCAGGACAGGCTCTCCGCAGAGATGGGAGCAAAGCCCCCCAGGGCCAGCTAACCCGAGGGGCGATTCTCCAACTGTTCAGGAACCAAATTCAATTTTCTATGTCTGCTTAAGTTGGAGAAGTACAGACAGTGCTCGGGTTACCACCACAGTACAGCCCAACATTTATGTGGCTAAGCGAGACATTTGTTAAGTGAATTTTGCCCTGTTTTACGACCTGTCTTGCCACAGTTGTTAAGTGAACCCCTGCGGTTGTTATGTCCATCACAGGGTTGTTAAGTGAATCTGGCTTCCCCTTTTTGACTTGGCTGGTCAGAAGGTCGTAAAAGGGAGAATCGCACGATCCGGGACGTGCAACCGTCATAAATATGAACCAGTGGTCAATCCTCTGAATTTTGGTCATGCGGCCCATGGGATGCTACAATGATGAAAAGGATCACAAGGCACTTTTTTCCGTGCTGTGGTCACTTTGACTGGACACTAAACAAATGGTTGTAACTTGAGGACTACATGTATACATACAGTATCCCCTTCCTCTTCCATTCTCGTTCCAGTCCCCAGGCTGGAACCCGACCCTCTTCACCTTTCTTTTCCCAGCACCAGTTTGTAACCCAGGCAGGGCTGACGCGGAGCCTGACCCTTGACCTCTTGGAGAAAGTGCACAATCCTGACCAGCTCCCCAGAGGTGAGACGGAAGAAGAGGACCAAGAGGTGAGAGCAAAGAGTGGAAAAGTGGAAGAGATGGACTCTTCGATTTAGGACCCGTCCACACCTACCTCTAACGGCTTCTTCTAAGATGCCAGGCTTCTCTAAGGAGGTGTCCTCACGACTCCACCTTCATCTCATCTCCAGTCCACAGCTGAGCATGTGTGTCGTGCCTGCATTTCTCTGGTCTGACGTTCAGGGAGAACTCTCCATCTTCTCCCGACACGAGCTTGGCTAGAGGCCATGTTTTTGTGAACTTTTATGGGGACCTCTTTAGACCAGCTGGAGAGAAACATGTCAAACCATTCCCCAGGGTCTGCCTGTGATTTAGAAGTTGGTTTCCTCTCTTCCCAGAGCCATAATAAGTATTACAGTGAAGCAGCTGATCTTTAGGACACATTCAGAGCTTGAGCCCTGGGTATCCTACTGTCCCAGATTTTCTCCTGAAAGTCACTCCTGTCCTAATTCAGAATAGCGACATCACCATACGAAGACGGGGGGAAATTGTCCAGGCTATTACTTTTTCCTCCCCACACTACATCCATAAATCTAGGTCTCTCTTGTCTTGCCCAAGTCAAACTCAAGGGTGTTTTGGGGGGCTAGCAATAATAAGGGCTCCTCTAGAACTGAAGGGTGGGAGACACAGCCATACAAGCTCTAACACAGTGGTTCTCAACCTTTCTAATGTCACGACCCCATAATACAGTTCCCCATGTTGTGGTGACCCCCAACCACTTATATATCACTGGGTGCCAGATGTGTGGCCAAAGAAAAGGGGGAAAAATGGCGGACAGCCTTGTTTGGCGACCCCCGTGAAATGGTCGTTTGACCCCAAATGGGGTCCCGACCCACAGGTTGCGAACCACTGCTCTAACACATCCCTCTAACATGCCTCTCCTCTCCTCTCCTCTCCTCCTCTCTCTTCCTCCTCCTCCTCTCCTCTCTTTTTTCTTCTCTTCCTCAGCTGCCTCCACCCCCAGTGCCCCGAAGAATTCGCTCTAGTCAGCGGCAAGGCGTGACTTCTCCAGGATACGCTGGTGCCCAGGGTATGGTTGCCCACTCTCGCTCATTCAAGGCTCACCTGTCCAGCTGATCTAAGTGGATTCACCCCACTAGGGAAAAATAACATGGCTGTTTGGTCTCTGCACCCTCCATCATGTTGAGACTCTAGAAAGAGTACAGAGAAGAGCAACAAAGATGATTAGGGGACTGGAGGCTAAAACATATAACAAACAGTTGCTGGAATTGGGTATGTCTAGTTTAATAGAAAGAAGGACCAGGGGTGACAGGATAGCTGTGTTCCAGTACCTGAGGGGCTGCCCCAAAGAAGAGGGAGTCAAGCTATTCTTCAAAGCCCCTGAAGGCAGGACAAGAAGCAACGGATGGAAACTGATCAAGGAGAGAAGCAACCTAGAACTAAGGAGAAACTTCCTGACAGTTAGAATAATTAACTAGTGGAACAACCTGCTTCCAGAAGCTGTGAATGCTCTAACACTGGAAGTTTTTAAGAAGAGATTGGACAGCCATTTGTCTGAAATGGTATAGGCCAGTGGTGGCGAACCTATGGCACGGGTGCCAGAGGCAGCACTCAGAGCCCCCTCTGTGGGCACGCGTGCTGTCACCCCAGTCCTAGGCCTTCAGCTGGGTTTTATAAAACCTTTTCGCTTTAGGCCTCTGCCGCCATGTGAAAAAAAAAAAGATTCAAACAATCAGTCAATTTCAACTTCTTGCGGAAAAAAAAAAGATCTTGCAGAGTTGGAATTGATTGATTGAACTTTTTAGTCCCACCCAGTCTGCCGTTACCACCACAACCACGCCCACCCAATGGGCCACACCCATCCGGCACCTGACGATGCATAAGTGGGTTTTGGGTTGCAGTTTGGGCACTCGGTCTCTAAAAGGTTCGCCATCGCTGGTGTAGGGTCTCCTGCTTGAGCAGGGGGTTGGACTACTAGATGATCTCCAAGGTCCCTACCACCACCACCACCACCACCATTATCATCATCATCATCATTATTATTATCTTCCTTCTCAGGGCTCTAAATCCCCTTTCCAATCTCATTGCAGAACCCAATTTCAGCCCTGTCTTCCGAAGAAAACAAAGTCTGGGGTCTTCAAAATCGATGGTAACTCTTCATTGGCTCTTCCACTCTTTCCTTTGAGAAAGATTTCTCTCAAGGTCTAGTCTTTGTCCTCCGCTCTTGGAGTCCACATATTCAATGCCCCAAGATCTCATAACTGACTCGTTCATCTCTTCTCCTTCTTCAGATCTTCCTCTAGATCATGTTTCTCAACCTTTATGATGGGTGGACTTCAACTTCCAGAACTCCCAAGCCATCACGCAACTTTAGGAAGAAAGGATTTTAACTCCCAGGAATTCTGGGAGATGAAGTCCATCCATCTTAAAGTTGCGAAGGTTGAGGAATACTGATCAAAGAGCACAACCAAACTCTAAGGCAGCCTTGGCCAACTTGGGGTCTCCAGATGAGCGGAATTATCACGCCCATCACCCCCAGATACCTCTGGGCTGGCTGTTGGGGAATTTGGCTTCTAATTCTGCTGGAGACACCTCCCTTCCTTTAGGCTGATGGACTTGCAAAGGCTGAAATCCCCATGTCTCTGCTTTCTTCTGCAGGAGATCATGCTAGACCCAGGCTACAGTACGATGGACAACCCTGGATCTGACTTCAGCAGCAGGTAAGGGGGCGTGAGAAGGGGTCTCAGGGACCAGCTTCCCTAGCTGCTGCTGCCGAGATAAATAAAGTTTATAAAGTTTATTTCAGCTTTGTTTTCCTGATCTTTGCAGGAAGAAAGTAGTTGACTCAGACTACGATGATGTGGATATGTAAGTTCTGTCTCAGCTGCTTGCAGTTGAGCTGGCTGGGGAATCCTGGGAGTTGAAGTCCACCTGTCTTAAAATGGCCAAGGTTGAGAAACACAACAGGAGGCTTTGACAATGGCAAAACCGCAACAAAGGGCTCATCAAAACAATGATGTGGTGATGGGGGCCAAGGGCAGCTAAACTCCTGAGCATCACCCCGTTTCATCGTCCTCGCGCTTCTAAATCCCTCTTCTCTGACCATTCTTTTCTCCTCTCCCTTCCAGTCCCAGCAGATCAGACCTAATCAGGTAACAATTTCTCCCAGAATTTTAAAATATCAAATTATACAACACGCGGTCATTTAGCCAAAAGCTGGGAAGAGACGGATCTGAGGATCTAGCAAGGAACTAGTCCCTAAGACGAATAGATTCTTGCTTGGGATTTAAAAACGACACTCCTGGAAAAGAAATGTTTTCTTTCTGTTCTGAAGGGGCTTAGACCTGCGGTGAACTATGATGTCTTGTTATGGGGTCTTGTTATGGTGGTTTCCTTGCAGACCTTTCACGACCCAACTAGGGAACGTCATCAGCGCTAGAAGGGAGAGAGGTTTATAAACAAGAGAGCGAACCCCACGCTCTTCTGGAACGGATGGTGTTACCTAGTGGGGTCATGAAATGTCTGCAAAACCCTCCCACCAAGCTCAGAGAGCACCAAGGACCCCCACAGTTCAACCCCAAGCTATGCATATTCGTCTCTGATATTACTATCTTTGTTAGAACAATTCGTTGCAGGTAGATGGAGGGGAGAAAACAGGTCACTATCCCCATTTCCCTGTTTTTGATCCTGGTCATTTATCTTTCCTTCCAGGGACACTCAACCGGCCAATCTCCCACCCCCATTACCCCCCAAGGTAAACCTTCTGTGGGATCAAAGTAAGTTGCAGTGCTCCCCTCTATCCTTGCAGGTGAAGATACACTAAGGCAGTGGTGGCGAACCTATGGCACGGGTGCCAGAGGCGGCACTCAGAACCCTCTCTGTGGGCACGCATGCTGTCACCCCAGTCCTAGGCCTTCAGCTGGTTTTTATAAAACCTTTTTGCTTTAGGCCTCCACCACCATGTGCAAAAAAAAAAAAAGGTTCAATCAATCAGTCAATTTCAACCTCGCAGGAAAAAAAAAGATCTTGCAAAGTTGAAATTGATTGAACTTTTTAGTCCCACCCAGTCTGCCGTTACCATCGCAGCCACGCCCATCCAATGGGCCACACCCACCCGGCACCCGACGATGCGTAAGTGGGTTTTGGGTTGCAGTTTGGGCACTTGGGTCTCTAAAAGATTCGCCATCGCTGCACTAAGGGGAGTCCCAGGTGACTCCCCATCCTCCAGGGGGCAGCCACGGTCCACCGCCCTGTTCCTCCTACTCCACGTTCTTCCGTGGCTGGTGCAGATTTCGTCCACGGACGATCCCTTGGCCACCCTTAGCGCAGGTTTGCTGTTCCCGCTGACCCGTGCGTTTCATGCGTGCTGCAATCCCTCTCTCGGTAGCCCAGTGTCTGGCTCTCCTCGGACGAAAGGGCAGCAGGTCGATCCCGTGGCCCCTCTCCTGCCAAATCCCTCGTCCGGGGACGGTGCTCCAGCGGCCCCATCCTGAGCTGGCCCTCGCCCCAGAGTAATTCCGGGAGAGCTGAAGCTTCCCATCTCACTGCCAAATCAGGTATGGCTTTTTCCCAGAAAACGGAGGCGTGACGTAAAGAGACAGGACGAGACGCTCCCAAACTTTGTACATTGTCCCGGACGGGGGGTGGGGGTCACGAGACCCCCGTTTTGCAACCTTCTGTCAAGCAGGGTCCCTGGGGAAGCAAGTGTGTTATTAACCATGGCAGTGATTTATTTATCGGCTGTGTCATGGCTTGTCCTGGGATAAAACCCACTGAACGGCTATCTCAAGGAGCAACCTACACTTTGGGGCTCATTTGTGGTCGTAAGTTGAGGACCACCTGTAGGGGGAAAAAATAGCTTGGGGCGGGGACCCCTGTCATTCCCGAAACAAGCCTTGCAGGGGTTATAGTCCCGTTAAAAGATTTAATGGGACTAGTCCATAAGACCGAACCTGAATTTGGAGAATCCAGAGTAAAAAAAAAAACAAAAGGAAGACTTAATTATGTTGCTGCCGGGTTGAGATCTGGGGAGGTCAATCTCATTGGGGCAGGATTTGGTGGGGGTGGGGCGTTAACTGTTCCCTTCCTCCCTCCCAGTCCCAGAGCTGCGTTCAGATCCCTCGGAAGAGAGGCCACCCAGCCTTCCTCCTAAATTGGAGAGGAGACAGAAACCAGTAAGTGTTTTGAGCCTCCACGTTGGCTGAATTTGCTCTGATCCAAAGCATTCCACTATTGCTCAAATTAAACTTTGTTTTTTTTTTAAACTGAGCCTGGTAGAAAGAGAATAGCTTGCATTTTTCTTGGGAGCAAGTCAAGGAATTATCCCCCTCCTCCTCTTCCCTCTTTCCCCTTCCCCCTTTCCTTCTCTTCCCATTGCCTTCTCCATCTCCTCCTCCTCCTCTCTTCCCTCTTTCCCCCTTTCCTTCCCCTTCCCTATTGCCTTCTCCATCTTTTCTTCTTCCTCCTCTTCCTCCTCCTCTTCCCTCTTTCCCCTTCCCCCTTTCCTTCTCTTCCCATTGCCTTCTCCATCTCCTCCTCCTCCTCTCTTCCCTCTTTCCCCCTTTCCTTCCCCTTCCCTATTGCCTTCTCCATCTTTTCTTCTTCCTCCTCTTCCTCCTCCTCTTCCCTCTTTCCCCTTCCCCCTTTCCTTCTCTTCCCATTGCCTTCTCCATCTCCTCCTCCTCCTCTCTTCCCTCTTTCCCCCTTTCCTTCCCCTTCCCTATTGCCTTCTCCATCTTTTCTTCCTCCTCCTCCTCTTCCCCTTCCCCCTTTCCTTCCCCTTCCCCACTGCCTTCTCCATCTCCTCCTCCTCCTCCTCCCCCTCCCCTCCAAAATATAATTCCCAACCAGTGTGGGAATCATCAGGGTGAAATTCAAAGGGGAAGAGGTACCACCAGGAGGGGAGAGGGGGAATCACCTGCGGGCCAGGATGCTCTCGTGCTTCTCCCAGGCGCCCTTGTTCATGGATGGCTCTGGCCTGCTTCTCCTCCTCCTCAGGACAGGGTTCTCTTCAAGAAGGTCTTCAACGAGTGTCCCTTGCACCTCACCTCGGCCACCGCTTGGACCCATCCACACACCAACGGTAGGGCTGGAGCAGACCCGCGAGAAGGACAGGTGGGCGGGGGGGGCCGCATTGGCTCCTTCTGCAGACCTGAGGAGCATCTAGCCCAGGTGGTGACCTCTTGACCAAGGCTCCTCATCCTCAAAGAATCTAGTGACCTGTTCTTGCTGGGTGACCGCAGGGTTCTCCTCGTGAGGAAAGCGACCTTCCCCAAAGCCATCTAGAAATAATTACCTGAGCTCCAGGAGGGCTCCCCCACCTAGGACTCGTTCTTCTGAACATCGTGTGGTCCTTGACTTACAACGGTTTGTTTAGTGACTTTTTGAGGTTAACAACGGCACCGAAAAAAGTGTCTTATGACCGTTTGTCACCCTCCTCAGGTAGGCTCCACAATGAAATCCACAGCTCTTCTAACTGCTTCGGAAATCTCTCACACACACCAACACAAACACACACACACACACAACTTTCAACCCTTTGTTTAGGGACTGCTTCGGAAATCTCTCACACACACCAACACACACACACACACCCCTTTCAACCCTTTGTTTAGGGACCGTTCGAAGCTACAACAGGACTGGAAAAAGCGACACGGCCATTTCCCCACACTTACGGCCGTTGCGGCATCCCCACGGTCAACATTCGGACACTTGTCAGCTGACTCATACTTATGACGGTTGCAGCAGTGCCCCGGGGTCACGGGATCCCGACCTCTAGGGAAGCAAAGTCAATGGGGGAGCCAGATTCACTTAACAGCCGGATTACTAACTTAACAACTGCAGTGATTCACTTAGCAACCGTTGTAAAATGGGGCAAAGCGGACTGAACAAGTGTCTCCCCTTAGCTGAAATTTTGGCTCAGTCAGTCTGGATGTTTGGAAGACCTGATGGGCCACGTTTAGAGACAAGAGAGTCACGGAGAGCACTAAGAGGGGACGCCCCCTCAATGGCAGGTAACCGATCACGGTGGTCTTTCCTTAATCTTGAATTTTCTCCCTGTTCCGCAGAGCTGCACTTAATTCTGGGGGCCGAAGAAGGCATCTTCACCTTGAACCGGAGTGAGACGGAGCCTGCCCTAGAACTGGTGAGACTGACGGGCGAGGTGGGGTGCAGGAACGAGTCTGAACGACAGAACGAAGAAGGAACGAGGCAGAGAATTCAATTTCTGGCTTGCTTTGAAGAACATCATCCTTTTTTGTTGTTGTTGTCTCCTTCCCTTTCTCAAGCTTTATCACAGCCGAACGACGTGGGTCTATTGCATAGCAAACGTGCTCATGTCCCTTTCGGGTAAGTTGATCACCCATAGGTTGTGTTCGCACAACACAATGCCTTAACCTGGTTGGGAGGGCACCCATCTGCTGGGTCTGCAATGCATTGAAGCATAGGCTAAGCCAGAGGTGGGGAACCATGCCCCCTTTTTGACCTGTGGACTTCAACACCCAGAATTCCCCAGCGAGTTATGAATTCTGGAAGCTGAAGTAGCCAAGGCTGAAAAACAGTACTCTAGTGTCTGTATTAAAAAAAACACAAAAAACATACACAGACACTAAAAAAAAGTCCCATTTCTTCCTGCAAAGCGAGACGAGTTTCCTCTTAAAATTACTTAAGCGCAGAGTTGTCATTGAGTAGCTTGCTAACAGATTATTTTTTTTTACCGTTTTGATTTTTTTTTTTTTTTTTTAAAAATGTTCTTAGCCTTTCGACCACGTTTTGATCTGCAAAACTCAGGAAGTGGTAATAAATCAACCAGCCAGCTAATATCGGGGAAACCGACTTGCTGTTCAAACAATTTCCTCTTTTTACTCTTTGTATTTTGTTTCGTCCTTTTCGCCCCTCGTTTTAAAAGCCCTCTGGAGAAAGCAGTAGCTGAACGAGCACAAGCAGCTGAGGTAAAAAAAATCAGCACCCAAGAGAATGAGAGAGGTGAAAGGGGTTCCAAGAAGACTCCACACCCATTTGCACCACTCAGGTGACCCTGACCAGGGGTAGGCAACCTCGGCTCTTTTATGACTCGTGGACTTCAACTCCCAGAATTCCTGAGCCAGCCATGCTGAGGGGAAAGGGAGAGGTTTCCAAGCCATGCTGGCTCAGGAATTCTGGGAGTTGGTCCATGAGTCATGAAGGGGCCATAGTTCCCCCATGCTGGCTCAGGAGTTCTGGGAGTTGAAGTCCACCGGTCATGAGGGGGCCATAGTTCCCCCATGCTGGCTGAGGAATTCTGGGGGTTAAGGTCCATGAGTCATGAGGAGGCCATAGTTCCCCCATACTGACTCAGGAATTCTGGGAGTTGAAGTCCACAGGTTGTAAAGTTGCCATAATTGTTCACCAATGAGCTAGCCCTGGGGTGGACAACCTTGGCTCTTTTATGACTCGTGGACTTCAACTCCCAGAATTCCTGAGCCAGCCATGCTGAGGGGAAAGGGAGAAGTTTCCAAGCCATGCTGGCTCAGGAATTCTGGGAGTTGGTCCATGAGTCATGAAGGGGCCATAGTTCCCCCATACTGACTCAGGAATTATGGGAGTTGAAGTCCACAGGTTGTAAAGTTGCCATAATTGTTCACCAATGAGCTAGCCCTGGGGTGGACAACCTTGGCTCTTTTATGACTCGTGGACTTCAACTCCCAGAATTCCTGAGCCAGCCACGCTGAGGGGAAAGGGAGAGGTTTCCAAGCTGAGCTATGCTGGCTCAGGAATTCTGGGAGTTGGAGTCCACGAGTCATAAAAGAGCCAAGGTTGCTTACCCCTGACATAGACAAACCTCCAAGTGGCCTCAACGACTCTCTAAAAGGATTCAAATGACCAGCTGTCTGCAAGGAGTATAAATCTTTCCTTTCCCCCACCATTCAGTCAGAGCTGAAGAAGCTTCCTGGAGGAGAAGTGAAATGACTTCAAAGAAAAACAAGAAAGTCCAGTTGCCTCTTGAAAAAGCACCTTTGGGCTCAGGGGATTTTTAAAAGCGCTCGTGGCAATTCTGCAAACACAGACTCGCCTTGCAAATTTAAGTCCCAAGACCTGAACAGAATCCCCGATCATTTATACCCAGTAGCCGTAATTGTTCGTATCCCAAACAGATAACCCTTTTATCACGACCACAATTGGAACTGGCACGTCCATCGTTAAGCGAGGTGGTTATTAAATGAGGACGCACCCGAGTTTGCGACCTTTTTTTTTTTTGCTGTGGTCATTAAGGAAATCACACAGCCGTTAAGCAAATCTCGCTTTCCCCCATTGGCTTCCCTTGTCAGAACTGGCTAGGAACGTCGCAAATGGGGATCACGTGATCCTCGGATACGCCAACCGTCATAAAGGCATGCCAGGTGCCAAGCGTCTGAATTCTGATCATGTGAGCCTGGGGATACTGCAGTGCAATAAGTTGCTGTAACTCGCTTTTTTCAGCACCGCTGTATTTTCAAGCGGTCACTAAATGAATGGTCGTAAATGGAGGACCTCCTGTATAGTCGATTAACCTCGATAGGTTTTCTTATCCCTTTTGTTCAGGCAAGGTTCCCCAGCTCTTCTCCCACAATTTACTGGGTCTGCACGAGCAGAGCAAGAGAGACCAGCGCCTGGCGGTGTCCCTTTCCCCACACCGACTATTACCCAGGTAAACCCATCATCGGAACGGTGTCTTTTTCTTAACCCCTTCCTTATTTCTTCAGGATTCATTTAGCTGTGAGAATGGCCACTCTCTTTATCTGGCAGAGGTCTTTAGCAGCCTGGCTGGCTGGAGCTTCAACAGGTTGCTTTCCTTGGCGTCCCTGGTGCTCTCCGAGCTTGGCTGCTTTCTTGCAGACTTTTCATGTCCCAACTAGGAAACGTCACCCGTGCTGCACGGAAGTTCTCTGTTCATAGATAAGTGGCTTGTCCTGTTGGGTGGGTGGTGAAGTCTTGGTGAAGTCCAGACTTCTTAAAGTTGCCAAGGTTGAGAAAGGGACACTACACATCCTCTTTGTGACCTGTTTTCCTTGTTACTTTCTGGGTGCTCCGGGGTATCCGAAGCAGAACATCCAGATTCAGTCACAGTTTTGTTCCATACAGTGTCAACCTTGTGAACTCTCAAACTTCCTCTTTCCGTCATGTATTCAGGATGGACAGTGGTTAATATTTGTATGTTATTTATATGCAAGGGTGTAGGTTTATACATATGTTGTATATAGCATGTTTAAATGTGTTATGTATGTGTACACTTTGAGAGCAAGCAACTAAATTTCATTTTTAACGCGTGCAAATGTGCCCACAGTAGAAAATGACAATAAAGGTTATCTATCTATCTATCTATCTATCATCTACTGTCTATCATCTATCTATCATCTATCTACTATCTGTCTGTCTATCTATCATCTATCAACTGTCTATCTATATATCATCTATCTATCATCTATCAACTATTATCTATCTACTATCTATCTACTATCTATCATCTATCAACTATCTATCATCTATCAACTATCATCTATCAACTGTCTATCTATATATCATCTATCAACTGTATCTATCTATATCTATCATCTGTCTATCAACTATCTGTCTGTCTATCAACTGTCTATCATCTATCAACTATTTATCTATCTATCAACTGTATCTATCAACTGTCTATCTATATATCAACTGTATCTATCAACTGTCTATCTACTTATCTATCTATCTATCTATCTATCTATCTATCTATCTATCTATCTATCTATCTATCTATCTATCTATCTATCTATCTATCTAAAGACTGTGTAGGGCAGTTCTAAAAAGGCAGTCTCGCTTCCCTTCACAAGCATCTCACCTTTCCTTTCCTTCCTTCCTTCCCTCTAGGAAAAACATCACCACCACCAGGATTCCTGACACGAAGGGATGCCAGAAATGTTGCACAGGTGCTTTGAATGCCAATCTCAATGGAGGGTGACAGCCACCACAGTTAACACCACCCTCCTCCCATCAGTTGCCCTGCCTAGCAGCCTATGCAGCATATTCTCCTCCTTTTCTTGCAGCCAGGAATGCCCAGAACAATTGCCACTTTCTCTGTGGAGCATTAGAGGCGGGGGTGATTCTATTGCAATGGTATGAACCCATGCAGAAATTCATGCTGGTCAAGGTAAGAGCTCTGCCAGAGGCAGCATCTCCTGGCCTGGGTCAAGGTGGGCATCCCAAGGAAGAGACAGCCAGGTTGTGTTGGCTAGCTGGCTAGGTCACACTGTTTGTAATTTAGTGCATTGGGTGCAATTGCCAAGGCGGACTTAGGCTGGTGTCAACCAGGGGAGAACACCGCTGTTCCCACCACAGGCATTCTCTCTGAAGGTCTCTCACTGATTTATTATTGAAACTATTTTTGGATGCCAGGGTTTTCCCGTTCTGCAGGATATTTATGCTTTTTGAGCAATAATTGAAAACATGCTCCCTTTTGCACTGGTGAGACCACATCTGCAATACTGCGTCCAGTTTTGGCCATCATAATACTAAAAAAAAAAAAAGATGTTGAGATTCTAGAAAGAGTACAGAGAAGAGCAGCAAGGATGATTGGGCGGCTGGAGGCTAAACTGTACGAAGAACGGTTGCAGGAATTGGGTATGTCTGGTTTAAGGAAGAGGACTAGGGGAGACATGATAGCCATCTTCCAGAATCTCAGGGGCTGCCCCAAAGAAGAGGGAGTCAAGCTATTCTCCAAAGCACCTGAGGGCAGGACAAGAAGCAATGGATGGAAACTTATGAAGGAGAAAAGCAACCTAGAACTAAGGAGAAATTTCCTGACAAGTTAGAACAATTAACCAGGGGAACAACCTGCCTCCAGAAGTTGTGAATCCTCCAACACTGGAAGTTTTTAAGAAGAGACTGGGACAACGTAGAATGGATAGGTTCTTCTGTTGAGGACTTACCTGCATGACTTTGGTTTCCTAGTCTGCTCTACTTTGAAAGGTTGACAGGTGGCTATTAGTTCAAGTACTCCCCTTGGCAAATAACACTTTTGAGGGCATCAACCTCATTCAGGAAATCCTTTTCTTCTCCTTTGACAGTACTTCGATTTTCCTCTGCCTTCTGTGCTGCCCATCTTCGAGATGCTAATAACCCCTGACGAGGAATATCCGGTGGTCTGCATTGGGGTCAGCAAGGGCCCCCCAGGACAGGCCGTGCAGTTCCAAGTCATTAACCTCAATTCCTTAACCTCCTGGTTTATCAGCGACAAAAGTGGTGAGTATCCTGGAAGCATCCTGATCTCCTTTCCTCCTCCCCCCCCCAAGTACTAGTTGAATCCCAGGATGAGTTCCAGGTCATCCGATGGTTCATTTGACCCTAGAGGGCTGCGTCTTGTGTATCGGCTGTTGCGTGTTGTTTATGATGGACAATAATGAGGTAGAACTTGCTATCTTTCAGTGGGAAGGTCATACCAGCTCATTTGTTCTTGGTCTATTCAAAAGGCCACCTTCTCCACTAGGTTGAAGACCTTCCAGAAGGCACTTTTAAGGATCAAAGGCAGACCTCAAATTAATACCAAGCCATAGTTCTCAATAATGAATCTGTTTGTCCACAGAGCCTTCCTGCTGTGGCTTCGTCCAGGTGACTCAGTTGGATAACAAGTCGGTGATGGTTCTGATGGACGGTAAGTAGAAACCAGGTAGCCTTTGGTTTGTCAGGACTGTGAGGAGGGACCGTTCATGCTGCGGCCAATCTGTTTTTGGTTTGTTTCCCAGGATGCATCCAATTTGTCAGCCTCCGGGGGGTGCTGCTTGGATCCCCACCGAAACTCACCTTTGACGTAGCGGTTGAGTCAGTCGGTGAGTTCCTTTTCTCCACCCTGTTCAGTACTTTCCTCCTCTTCCGGTTGCATCCTCCCCGTCACCTAATGCTCCTTTCGGGTCTTAGAGGAAGTACAGATTGACATCTCCAGGGCAGTTCTGACCTTGATGGAGAAAGAGATCTAATCTAACCGTCTTCTCCACCAAATGCTGCCTGTGGATTCTCTGGTTGTTGTGATTTGTGCTTGTGGCGCGTTTGCTGGCTTGTCTGTCAGGAGTACTGAGAGATGTGTCAGGTTCCAACAACTAGATCCACACTTGCAGAGTTCAACCTAACTACTTTATTATGTTCTGCCTGTAATACAGGACTCTTCCCCCCCCCCCAATGGCAGTCTCCTTCCTCTTGGGAACAAATAGATAAGGCTCCAAGGAACTTCAGGAGGGTCAGTTAGCAATTTTATGGTTGCGCAATGACTCCAGGCTATCTGCATGCTTGATTCCTCCTCCCTGCCAGGCTGGGTGGCTTCTCAATGATGGAACCGATCTTGCTTTGGGTTAAGGTGGAGTCACACTTTACTTTGAGGGATGCTAGGCCACTGTTGAAGGATTCACTTCCCATTTCTCTTTGCGGAGAGGCGTGTCCGATGCTCGAGCAGTTTTTGTGAAACGGAGAGTAAGTCACGGTGGCAGGACCTGACCTTCTTCGCTTCTTCTGTCTCCAGCACTGGTGCAGAACTGCGTGCACGCGTTTTGGTGCCATGGTGTGCAGACACGGCCCCTTGGACCAGGGCAGGTAAAGAAGGAGCAGCTGTGTTTCCAACATGGTGTGGTCAGTTCTCTTGAGATTTTATGCCGCAGATGGTGGTGGGAGAAGAGCCCAAGATAACCCCTTCGTAGTATTCTCCAACAATGAGGGCATCTCATTTATCTCGTTTCTGATTTGTGGGTGGAAGTTCAACAATCCTTATTGCCTCCACTAGAGTCATCCATAACCTTTCATCTTGATCCGATGTTGCTTCTCAGGTAGCACAGAAACTGCAGGATCAACAGTGGACCTTCCGCCTACTGAGACCCTCCAGGTTTGAAGACCTTCCACCATCTCTGTGCTTCTCCTGTCCATGCAACTTGCTCCACCCTGTTGTGGCCTGCAGAACTTGGTCACTCCTCCTAACTTCCTTGTGTGGGTCCTGTACTAAGTGGGGCTCCTTTTTTTTGGTTCTTTGGGACCACCTTCTTCATCCTGTGGTCTCCATTGTCCCCAACCTTCTCAGCTAGCATGGCCATCCCGCAACCATAGAATATCCTCCTCCAGGGTGCCCACCTGATTCTGGTCTTTCTCTTCTCCTTTCTTGCCAGCACCATTGTATTAGAGACGCGGCCAGTGAATAACCCACATTCCACCAGCAATCTTTACGTGCCCGAATGACGACGGTCCCACCTCAACCTGTAGGTTGCCCAGACTGACAATCTCCCACCCTCCGAAACTGATTCCTCAAAGAAGAACAAGTGATGGGGAAGAGGACTCTCTGTCAGATGCTTCAGGAAGCTGGCAAGACAGGACTGGAAGTGGGAAATTGCCTAGCCCAACCCCTCAGCAGCTTCACCCTGGAGCAGCAAGGGGCATCAATGCCCTGGTTTTATGCTTCTCTTTACGCGCCATTCAGCCTCAGTAAACAGTATGTTCAGTTTTTCGTTCCTCTGAAAGATTTATCTCGGTGTGCACGTGTGTATACGTTAATGCGTCCAAGAGCAGTGTCCAGGATGTGGCTAAGCTGTGTATGGCCGGATCCTGCTAGTGGATCAGTTCTTGGGCAACCAACGCATCAGATACACCCTGCCCGAGTATGGATTATCTCCAGCCTGTTGTGGGTGTCCCATCACTGGAGGTTTTCAAGAAGGGACAGGACAGCCATTGGTCTGAAATGGCATAGGGTTCTCCTGTTTGAGCAAGGGGTTGGACTAGATGACCTCCAAGGTCCCTTCCAGCTCTGTTATTCTGTTCAATCTCTTCTTAGTCAAGGTTCTGTGCTCACACACCCCTTACAAAGCGGGTGTGTGTGTGTGTGTGTGTCTCTATTCATCCAAGCCATGATGGCTTGGTATCATGTGATATCCCAAGCTGGTGTTTGTTCCTATTTGCAGTGGACAGACACCAATAAAATGCACGGCAATTCCCAAAAGCAGACTCACAAAAAAGGCAGAATGAACAGCAACAGGAAAAAAACGAAAAGGAAAAACAGCTTCGCAATTTCTTGGCTCTGCAGAAGGATGATGCCAACTCAAGGGGGGTTGCAGCAGTCTATGGTTTTATTGGCAGAGAACCAAGCTGGACGGGAGAACCACCGGGGGAGTGGGAGTGTCTGCATCTCCACAACAGACCTGGCTTCAAATGTTCAGTAGGCTGGCCATTAAATTGGGGACGGCAAGGGGTCTGTTCTATTCAACAGCTCGAGGGGCTGTGGATGCCAGGGCCTCCCCCCACCCCAAATCACACACACATCTGGCTAGATGGGGTGGGATTTTGGGTGCCTTCACAAATCCAGATGGGACCACTGGTGCAAGAGAAGATCCCACCCCACACACCCCCTACGTATAAGCTTCACAAGTAAGATGGAGCCTATGGGGAGGATTAAGTGCAAGGGTTATTCAAGTCACAGAGGGGGGGGGGGACAGAGGATGGAGGGGGCTGCATTGTCTGTGTCGGACTAGAACACCCGACTAGGCCTGGTGACTGAAATCAGCAACAAATTTGCCCCAACTTCTCCACACACCCATCTCGCCATGGGACAACTCGCTGCGGGACGAGAGTTAAACTAATACCAAAGAAACGGTGGACTAGAATCCTGAAAGATACCAAAGGAGGGACAGAATGACATGTGAATGACAAACATGACAGGATATCTTTTTTATTCCTTTTAAATGATTAGATTGAAACGTTTAAACTGCCCTGCGGGTAAGTTATCCCGGGGCGAGTTGTCCCATTCCGTTCTCCTGACGGATCCGGAAGAGTAGGTCTTTCCCTGTATAGAGGCCCCTCCCCTCTCCTGGGGGGGGGGGTAAGGGCCAATAAAAGGCACTTGAAACTGGGTGGGGGTGGAGTGGAGGGGCTTTAACCTGGAAAGGAAGCCTATTGCATGACCCCCACCACCACGAGGAGACCAGAAAGAGTTGGGAAGAGTTACTGGCCAAATGGGAGGCTGGCTTAGCCCAAGCAGGCTGGGACCCTCCAGGTGTTTTTTTTGGGGAGGGGGGGTTAGAGGGAGACAGAAATACCCATCTCTTCAACCAAGGGGAGGGGGCTTAGCAGCAAGAGGCAGAAAACAGTGGTGATGACTTGAGAGTTGGCGGTGGGGGGATGAGGCAGCTCTCCCAACGCTTGAAATAAAGGGACTCAGCTGGGGTCTCCCACTCTGCTTGGCTGCTTAGCCCCCTTTCTCTGGGGGGGGGGTAGGAAAGGGGGCAAGCGAGGTGGGCCCAGGGTAGCTGCCTTGCCTCCTGCTTTAGCCCGGGGGAGCCTCTAGCTCAGCTGGTCTTCATACTGTTTCCGGAAACAGTCTCCCGCCGGGAAAAAGTCCCAACAGCGCTCTTGGTACATTTTCCAGACATAGGATTCCTGCAAAACGGAGAATACAGCATCTCGTAAAGCGGAGCATCACCCCCCCTTTTTAAAAAAAAATTCAAGTACAAGGAGTCCTCTACTTACAACCATTCGTTTAGTGACCTTAGGAAGCTACAGTGGTGCTGAAAAAAGTAACTTAGGACCCATCCTCGCCCTTATGACCATCACAGCATCTCCAGGGTCACGTGATCCAAGTCTGGGTGCTTGGAAACCGACGTGTATTTATGATGGCTGCAGCATCCCGGTGTGTATGCGTGTGTGTGTGTTGTGTGTGTGACATAATTGCCATTTGCGACCTTCCCTGCCGGCTTCTGACAAGCAAAGTCAATGGGGGAAACCCGGATTCGCTTAACGACCGTGTAATTTTCACTTAACAACCGCAGCAATTTGCTTAACAGCCTTGACAAATAAGGTGGTGTTTTTTTCTTTTAAAAAAAGTGGGATTCCCTTTACAACTGTCTTGCTTAGCAATGGAAATTCTGTCTCAGTCGTGGTTGTAAGCAGAGGACTTACCTGTAATAATTTCATATTTTTTAAAAAAAATACATTTATAGAATAAATAGCTACCCAAAGGGAGGGGGGGGGACAAAAGGTGGGAAGAGGCATAAGGGATGCAGAATAAGATATCCGTAAGCAAGCAAAGGATTTCCCATGGTCCTAACATTTAAAAGTCCTCATTTAATGAAGGAACGATGGAATAAAATGTACAGTTTGTGGCATTGTCTTAAGAAAAGATCTATAAAGCTTTAAAGGTGAATAGTATTGGTATCACCATTACTTGTCAGTACTCATCAAATAATGTGAAGAAAAAGGAAAGGAAAAATAAAGGGGGGGGGGAGAAAACTATTATTAAAACAAATAATTTGAAAAGAAGAAAAATCAAAATAATTGAGTTTTAACTTCCCTCTCCTCCCATCCTTGGGCTCCCTCAGGTTGTCCTCTCACCTGGCCAGTGTGCTCCGTTTCATCCTTATTGATGAGATACATCAGGAAAAACCTATGAGGAGGAAGAAAGCCGGAAAAGAATGACGTGGAAACCTTTTGCAAGGAAAGGAATCGTGACAAGCATCTGCAGGCTATCTTCAGATTTAGAGAAACGTGGGTTGTGCCCAGAGGAATACCACCGAGGGGATGAGAAATACTGCCTCTGGGGAAGTGGAGAAATGAGGAGGGATGGGGAAGAGGAAGTCTCCCCCCCCCCCCTTAGCACCTTTCCTGCAGTTTAACTTGCAGCTCCCTTAAGGGGCTGAAATGGACTGTGAGAATAACCAGCAAATAAGAGAATGGCTAGATAAGAGATATCTGAGTCCCAAACAGGAATGTAATTTGAGAAAGTGTCTTAGACCTGACTGGCAAGATTTTGCTACATCAGGTCAAAATAAAAGTAGCATTAGCATAAATAACACTGGTTTCCTGGTTCCGGGCTACTTCTAAAGGCTGACATGGGTCCCGTGGACTTCACGGTGCTAGGCTACCTTCCCCTATTGCTTAGTTGGGACCTGCCTCTCAGGGTCTTTGAATGCTTTTCTGCTTTCTGAAACTTTCACAGCTACAGAATAAAGCCTAGGAAAACCCTGGCTGTTGCCTTCTCCTCCCCCCTCCCCCCGCCGTCGTCTGCTTACATGTAATTTGCCAGGTTGTGCTCCTCTAACGTGTGGGTCTCAAAGCCGTGGGGCGTCGTGTCAAAATAGTCACTGCCAAGTCCGCAGATGAAACATTTGGTCTGTTGAGGAGAGCAAAGGACAATGAAGAAAACAGCGCAAAAAAAAAAAAAAAGAAAGAAAAGTCACAAAATCTGATGCGATTCTTAACACCTGCTTTCCTTAGCAATGGAAGTTCTCGTCCCAACTCTGGTTGTAAATTGAAATTAAGCCTGTACAGTATTTTCTGTTCATAGGCTGACTTTCCACTGATGAATCCATTCACGGTTTCATTATTCCACCAATTAAAGATATCATCATTACATGTCCCAAAAACAAAGAGGTGAACAACATCTCTCTGGGAACAGAACTTGGACGAAAAGCCTCCAGAAGTTGTGGGGGCTCCAACACTGGAGGTTTTTAAGAAGAGATTGGACAACCGTTTGTCTGGAATGTTTTAGGGCAGACATGTCAAACACAAAGCCCAGGGGCCGGATGTGGCCCGCAAAGTGTTTTCATGTGGCCTATGAAGCCATCCTGGAAACAGTGAGGGAACGGCCCCTGCTGCCTTGGCCCTGGCCCAGGCCGACTGGGAGCCAATGTACAATTTTGTGGTGGCCATCTTAGCACTTGCCCTGGTGGACCATGCCTTGGCACTTGCCCTGGTCCCACCCCCTTCTGCCAGAGACCCTCAGATCTGTCCCACTCCTGCCCAGGCCCCCACAGGCACCCTTGATGTAGAACTGGCCACGCCCAGCCAGTAGGCCACACCCACCCCATCCACGCCCACCCAGTAGACTACACCCACTCCATCCACGCCCACCCAGTAGGCTGCACCCACTCTGGCCACACCCACTCGGCCCCCTGAGTGCAATTGCAATGCTGATGCGGTCCTCAGTGAAATTGAGTTTGACACCCCTGTTTTGGGGGGTTGGACTAGAAGACCTCTAAGGTTCCTCCCAGCTCTAATATTCTGTGATTCCATTCTGTTAAAAACGACAGCGATACAGCCTACCTCCATGTCCTCCTTCACTTGCTCCTGTTGGTCTCTCAGCTCCCCAAAGGCATCAATGATCAAACCTGGGAAAATGGAGAAAGAAATCCGGAAGTACTAAATTGTACTAATTTAAATACGAGACAGTAAATACCAAGCGGAAAAGAGAGGAAATATTTAATGTAATAGTTTGAGACCTGTACTAAAAGCCGCCACGTTGCTTTTCAAATATTTAAATGTAAAACTAAAAAAAAAATCAATAAAATTTTCTTTAAAAAAAAAAAAGAAGAAGCCCAGAAGTCAAAGAAAAAAGAAAAACCGAGATTTAAGCAAAGCCAAGGAACATTTCCTGACAACTGCTACCCTCTACAAAAGCCAAGGTGATTAGTCATGTTCCGTCACTGGAAGAGACATCCTGAAGATGCTCAAAGACATCCTCGTTTCAAAAACAGAAG